CATTGTATCAGATAACGTAGGATGTTATGATGCGCATTAACATAATGGACATTATCTGATGTGATGTGACTTGCTGCCTCTCTGAGCTTTATTGCTCAGTTTACATGTCATCCCCTAGAGCCATGTTCAGGGTGGAAATGGGACAAAAAAGGGAGAAGGATTGGTAATAGCAACAGAAATAGCACTTAGACTTATATTTTACTTTACAGCCCTCTCTAAGCAGTTTACAGAGTCAGCCTCTTGCCCCCAACAATCTGGGTCCCCATTTTACCCAGCTCAGAAGGATGGAAAGCTAAGAAAAACTTGAGCCTGGTGAGATTTGAACTGCCAAATTGCAGGCAGCCAGCAGTCAGCAGAAGGAGCCTGCAGTACTGCACTCTAACCACTGCGCCACCATGGTAGGTAGTAAGGAGGTAGATTCATATGAGGAAGATGGCCCAGTCCAGAGGAGTACGAGGCAACTCAGCCCAGATACCATGTGTGAGAGAAAGAGGGTGAAGACAGCCCCTCCCTAACAGTTCACAGAATACCAACCAAGGAGAATATCTGTAGCTCAGGGTTGAAATGAGCCAGCCATGATGCCACACTAGCCCTCAGGAAGACAGAGAGGGATTGGTAGAAAGTCTTACAGAAGCTTCCATGGCTGACAGGAACACTAGAGTACTCTTTCTTTCGGATCTCCCTCTTCCTAGTACTAACACCGATGATGTTATCTAATCTGGGTAAGGAAACATCTGCAAGAATGTCAAGTGGTCAGTGTCTGGAATACTCTACCTGACTCTGTGGTTTCTTCCCCAAACCCCAAAAACTTTAACCTTAGACTGTCTACTATTGACCTCACCCCTTTCCTAAGAGGTCTGTAGGGGGCGTGCATAAGCGCACCAACATGCCTACCGTCCCTGTCCTATTTCTTTTTTTTCTTATTCGTATCCATTTCATGTATTTATAACCATGTTTATACTTATACCTGTTATCTTATAATTGCTTGACTGACTGACTGACTGACTGACTGACTAACTAACTAAATAAATAAATAAATAACCAAGCTGAGAGAGCACTAAGGACCCCTCAGTTCGCAGACTATAGCAGTGATGGCTAACGTTTTTGTCGTGTGCCGAAAGTGTGTGCGTGTGCGCATATGCATGCGTGTCTGCACCCATAATGCAATGTGCAAATGACCCCCAGCCCCCTGAAGATGCGTGTGCGACCCTCCCGCGTGCCTCGCCCCAGGTGCATGCACGTGTGTCTCTCATGTGATCTCTCCCGCGCATGCATGGCAGATACCCAACAATCAGCTGGCTGGTGGGTTGTGTGTGCACAGGGTTGGGATTCAGATTTTTCAATAGCCAGTCCTGTGGGGGCGTGGCTGGGTGGGTGTGGCCATGTGACTGGGTGGGCTTGGTTTCTTCTTTTTTTGCAGCATCCCCCACACTCCGTTTTTTTGGCCTCCTGGGCCTCAGGAAGCCGCCTGGGTGAAGTAGTAAAACAGCGAGGGGGATCCCAGCACAGCTGATCATCGGAACAGCTGATCGTCAGGAGGAAAAAAAAAACCCTTAAGGAGTGACTGGGCTGGGGAGAATGCAGTCAGCGATGACTGACTGGGCAGGGAGGGGAGGGATGCGTAGAGAGGGACAGGCCCAGCCAGGGGCGTGATTTGTCGGTTCTCCGAACTGCGCAGAATCATAACAATCAGTTCTATAGAACTGATCCAAATTGGTAGAATCCCACCCTGGGCAGGGTTAGAAATAGAATAGAATAGAATAGAATAGAATAGAATAGAATAGAATAGAA